ATATAAATTTTTTTAAAGCAAAATTAATCTGTGGTGCTAAAGGTTAGGATTGTGTTTACCCTTAATGAGGAGGGAGAGATTGCTCCTGAAAGGGAGATGCAAGAAGGGGGCTTCTGGAATGCTTTCTTGGCCTGGGTGTAGTTACACTTGTAAAAGACCATTGGGCTGTATACTTATGATTTGTGTATTTTTCTGTATGTGTGCCATCCAGATTTCAGTGAAAAGTTCACCCCCCAAAATCCCGTCATTTTATCCTTAGAAAATAGTCAGTTTCTTCCAAATCAAAGGATAATTATCAGAAAGTAGACTGTTAATGACTGAGAGACCACTGCAGCATAAAACAACTAAACAGGTTAACAAGCACTGTTCACATTGAGGAAGACCCAGTTTGGAGCACTAATGAAAGTGTGCAAGCTACCAAACTTGCCAACCATAGGGTAATGATGAATGTGATATGCCTCATTCAGCAACATTCAATACATGTTTTTTGAAATCATACTTTATGATAATTACTTTTACTATTAAGTTCTCTAGATACATGAGGACATAGTGCTTGTATTTAAGAATCTCATAAAAGTGAGGAAGACTAAACAGAATACAGTTAAGATAAACATGAACAGATGTGCACAGAATTAATTCAGTGAAATCATGGAGAAGGGAGAATGACTTCCTGAGCAGATAAGTATAGAAGTTAGCTAAATGAAGAAAAGGGGTAAGAACTTCCCAGATAGAAGAAACATCATATGTAATATACAGAAGTGAGACTCAGCACAACACATTCTGGGAACTGTCCTTGTTTAACAAGGAAATTACAGGGGTCATTCACATTATCTTATGTATCCCAAATCCTACCCTCGTGCTTGTTCATGGTAACACTCAAATGTTAGTTAGATGAATACATACCTAAAGTTATATCAGGTATGTGAAGAGGTGGTCAAAAGAAAGATCATGAGGAACTTATAAACCATCCAAGGCAGCTCAGAGTTTATCTGGAAAGCAGTGGGGAATGAATTTGAGTATTAGTATAATATGGTTTGTTATTTTATTTATTTTTTCAATTAATTTATTTATTATTGGAACATAGTTGACTGTACATATCTGTGGGGTACAGCATTGATATCAGTACCTGTCTGCAATATGTGGTGTTCAAATCAGGGTAATTAGTACCTTCAACATTAGACGATATAATCAATTTTTGTGGCCCTTTACCAATTTCTCCCTTTCCTCCCTCACTCTTCCTCTTTCCCACCCCTGATAACCTTAGTTCTGTTCTCTTCTTTTGAAAGCTCAACATATAATTGTGATTGTTGTATCTTTATTTATTTGTTTGTTTGTTTGTTTGTTTTAGCTCCCACTTACAAGTGAGGACATGCAGTATTTCTCTTTCTGTTCCTGCTTATTTCACTTAACATAATTTTCTCTAAATTCATTCATGTTGCTGTGAATGGCATTCTTTTTTATGGCAGAGTAGTATTCCATTGTATAAATAATACCACCTTTTCCTTATCCAGTCATCCAGTGATGGACATTTAGATTTCCTTCAGCTCTTGCCTATTGTAAATAAGAGCTGCAATAAACATGGGAGTACAGGTATCCCTTCGACATGATGATTTCCATTCCTTTGGGTATATACCCAGCAGCGGGATTGAATGGCCACAGGTATCCCTTCGACATGATGATTTCCATTCCTTTGGGTATATACCCAGCAGTGGGATTGAATGGCCGTTCTATCTGTAGTTGTTTGAGGAACCTCCATACTATTTTCCATAATGGGTGCACCAATTTACAGTTCTACCAACAGTGTTGAAGAGTTCCCCTTTCTGTACATCCTCACCAGCATTTCTTATTCTCTGTCTTTTTGATAGTAGCCAGTCTAACTAGAGTGAGATGGTATCTCAGTGTGGTTTCAATTTGCATTTCCTTGATGCTAAGTGATGTTGAGCATTTCTTTATGTGTCTATTGGCCATTTGTATGTCTTCCTTTGAGAAATGCCTATTTAGCTCCTTTGCCTATTTTTTAATCAGGTTATTTGTTTTTTTACTGTTAAGTGTTGTAGTGTTGAAACTAGAAATACTGTTTAGATAGGAGGCTTTTGAAATAAACCAAGCAGGAAATGATAAGAGTGTGAACTTAATGATCACAGGCCTGATGAGTAAGGAATGAATTTGAGAGTGATTTAAGTGATAGAATAAATAGTACTTAGTGTCCAGATATAGTTATAAGAAGCATTTGGGGAGGAGGCATCTTGGGTGACTCCCATTCTACCTTGGGTGACCAGCTAAATACTGTGCCATTCACTATGATAGGAAATACAGGCTCAGCACAACTAAAGAACCTATATTTCTTGGAGAGAGGGTTAAAAGGGTGTTTTTCCTATTTGAGAATAAAGATTGCATAGTATAGTAAAAAGAGCTTGAATAAACCTTGGGATCAAACTTTAATTGGAATCTTAGTTCTTACATTATTTGAATCATATGTACTCTTTTATTTGGTTTCTTTGGCGCAAACTGTGGATCTTTGGGCAAGTTATTTAGTTTTACTAAGACTCAGCTTACTCATTTGTAAAACTGGGAAAATAATAGCTATCTTTTAAGCTTATTGTTAAGATTAAATGAGATAGGGCCGGCCCGGTGGCGCACTCGGTAGAGTGCGGCGCTTGGGAGCGCGGCGGTGCTCCCGCCGAGACCCATCCGTGGTGCGGGCGCGACACCGAGGGTTGCGATCCCGTTGCCGGTCGCAGTACGGGCGCGACACCAAGGGTTGCAATTCCGTTACTGGTCACGAAAAAAGACAAAAAGGAAAAAAAATTAAATGAGATAAACTTCTGGGTCTATAAGATAATAACAGCTGTCCAAATCTAAATCTCTCCACATGTCTCCCCAAAAAGCCATAGACGGAAAATGACATCACACATACTCACACATACCTACATACACATGCACACACATACAAACCATACATAATTCACACTGTCAGTATTACTACAAGATAGATGATACCACAAATTTTTAATTAACTTTGTGTCAAGAAACAGCAAATTACAGCAGCTCCTGTTGCTGCTGCAAACCTGTGAGTGTTGAGAGTGAGGCAAGGAGAGACTTAAAAGACTGAAAATTAGGGAAGTGGGGAAGCAGAGGCTAAAATAAAGCACAGACAAAATCACCAAAGAAAGATAAATGCCAGCAGCACTCAATGCCAGAATACAAACAGGCTTGGGACTTAGTAATTTATAGAACTAGCAACAGGGAATGGGTGTGAAAGTGAGAGGGTTCAGAAGTAGCAGCATCAGGGTAGCATTGCTACTGGAGGAGGAGATAATGAAAAGGTGGTGCCCCTCAGAGGCATGATATTGAGGGTAAAGAAGGAAGAAAGGAGGAAATTAAGGGTCCTGGGGAAATTAAGGGTCCTGAAGAAATGGAGAAAGGGTCCTGGAGAAATAAGGCACAGCACCCCATCACCCCACTCACACACCCACCAACTCCACCATAACATCATCCATTAAAGGAGCACATCTTTACTAATCTACAGAAGTGAACACTCTTAAACTAAGAACCCTATCCACAAAATGCCCAGGAATAGAAATTAAAGCAATGCTACACAAAGCTACTTTAAGAGGAATATAGAAAATGTAAATAAAAACATTTCAGCTGATAAAAATTCTTTCCCCAAAAGCAAATACAAAACAAAGGGAAACTATATTAACCCTCCAATCAAATAAAATATCCTCCAGCAAACTTGTGGACACATAAAAAAACAAACTTAGAAGCATAAATCCAAAATCTAAGACAAAAAAACAAAACAAAAACAAGAAGAAATGCAACAAGATTTGATTGAACTCAGGAGAGAAATTGAAGAAAAAGACAAAGCCATCTCAGAAATGGAGAGTACATTAATTACAAGGTAACCAAGGAAGAACAGATTCAAATAAAAATTTAGTAAGGGACACTGGTGAAAGGAAGGAGTACAACCAAGAAAATGAAAGTGAGGTGCAGAAAGAATAAAAAGCTTCAGAGACAAAGTAGTTGTAATGCAATACAGGCAAAAGAAAACCCAACATACCTTTTTTTGTTTTGTTTTTGCCAGCTGGCTGGTATGGACCAACATACTTTATAATCAGAGTCCTGAAGAAGAAAAACAAATTGATAGAACAGAGCTAATTAAACCATAATCCAAGGAACCTTTTCAAAAGTAATAGAAAAGAAACTGAAATTTACATATTAAAAGGTCCCACCTTGGAAAGATTGATCCAAACAACTCTGGTCGTAATGTACTAAAACTATTAGATTTTAAAGTCCTGCTGAGGGAAAAAAGAGATCACACTACTAATAAAAGAAAATTAGGCTTATATCAGATTCCTTAAGAAAACATTCAAGACTGGCTGGTTAGCTCAGTTGGTTAGAGTGCAGCCTTGTAACACCAAGGTTTGGATCCCCATACCAGCCAGCTGCCAAGAAAATAATAATGTTCAAAAGAAGGCTACAGTAGAGCACCATTTAAAAAAATTCAAATAAAGCGCTAGGTAGCCAACCTTTTCTTCAACTATCTGATAAACTTTGAACATGCAACAATTTAGGAAATAATTAGTGAGAATGCTGAGAATTTAATATATTTAAATGTAGATCCAAGACTACAGTTGTGTGAACATGGGTATAATTGTTATGTGTTCTGACAAAGTAAAAGGAATAAAACTAAAAGAAAGTGGATGGAGGGAAAAATCCCACATACAGACCAGCTCCCGCTCACTGGCTGAGCGAGGCGCGGGAGCAACACCGAGGTTTGCGATCCCGTTGCCGGTCCCCGGTCCGGTACGGGGGCAACACTGAGGGTTGCAATCCGTTGCCGGACACGGAAAAAGACAAAAGACAAAAAAAAATAAAATAAAAAAATAAAATAAAAGTCTGGGTGCAACAGCAGTATCAACATACAAGATTGTGGCTACCATATCTCTTTTTGGGAAGTTGAATCCTAAAATGTATAATTGTGTGATTTCTCTTTTCAGAGGCTGATAAAATACCGGTAATGCGTGGACAGTGGTTTATTGATGGTACTTGGCAGCCTCTAGAAGAAGAGGAAAGTAATTTAATTGAGCAAGAACATCTCAGTCGTTTTAGGGGTCAGCAGATGCAGGAAACTTTTGATATTGAAGTGTCAAAATCCATAGATGGAAAAGATGGTAAGACCAATTAATACATTTAATATATTCTGTAAACCAAGTAAATTGTTGGTAAAGTTTAGAGTAGTTCATAAGTTTGATATAGTAATTCAGGAAGGTTAGAATTTATAAAATTTGATTTTTAAACTTTTGATTATTATTCTAGAATTTAAAACTTGATGAATTTCTGAACTGTTTCAATTTTTATTTTACTCAGTATGTATATGTTCAATGGCATGACACTAACACAATTTATAATTAATGTACAAATTGTTATAAGGTACTTCCTGAATTCGTTCTTCTTGGTAATGTTTTAGTTACCAAAAAGTTTCTTGTCTTTATATCAAAAGAGCAGTTTTGAAAATATTTTAATGTTGGGTTTTTTTCCATGAAGTTTAAAAAAAGCACCTTAATTGTCTTTGTTTATCTCTTAGCTGCCTCCCTATTGATCACCATATCGATTTTTAATTTGAAACAGTCTCTTCCTTACATTTTCTTTTTTTCTTTTTTTTTTTTTTTTTTTACTACAGAAGTTTTATTTATATAACTTCTTATGAAGTAGAGTTTGTACACAAGGTAGGGTGAAAATTAAAACTGCCTATTCTTACATTTTCTTATTCAGCATTTGGATATGTTTGCAATAGTTAAAAATATTATGTAATAGCCAAGAGTGCCAGGTTTTCATTATGTGTCTGAATCTTGAGTTAACTTCAAAATATGTGGTAAAGTTAAAAATACTTCTATTGTTCCATTTACTGCAGGCAGTGGGATCAGCTATTCTGGTGAGTATAACTGTACAGGTAGATTAGAATTTGTCGCTTTCTCTAAATTTTTTTTTCCCTGAAAGCATTTCTTCATCCATGCTTGCCTTTATTTGGGAGGTTTCTTGGCGAGCCCTACTGAATTTAGTGAATTAAAATACAAATTAAGTGATTTTTTTTTATTCCCTTCATAAAACATCTCTAAAGCAGATAAATTCAATATTGATAACATAATGCACAGAATGCAGCTTTGAAAAATGAATTATGTGGTTGGAAGTAATTATTTATAATAGTTAATGGCAAGACAATAAGCTTTAAGTTGGCTGATGATTTTTTTCTTATTATTGTTAGTAACATCCCACGTTTTTCTCTCTTCCATCCTTTGCTCTCTCTTACCTCTCTGAACATATATATATACGTACACATTTGTATATAGGGAAACCTTATAGCAGGGAAACTATATAGTTTCATTTTATTCCAAATTAAAATACCTTTCATATCTAGTTGATTAAAAGTCTACATAACTGAGAAAAGTTGTGATTTCTGAATAAATTGGCAATTAAATCTAACAAATTTTTATAATAATAGTTGTCTATTATGTCCCAGATAATAGGAATTTAAATATGCTTAGGAATTTTAAATATATTATCTCATTTTCCTATTCTATAGAGTCAAATATGTCTTTATTTCACTGTAAATTTCAAAATAAAGGTTCTTTACATATCAATATGTAAAGAAAAGTTCAGTGTGAGAACTGTAGCTATAGTAGCAGCTTGCTATAGAAACAATACTTTGTTCTGGTTATAGCAAAAATAGCACATTTTATGTATCTGTGATCTTATGTTAGCTACTGAAATATTTTATAACCTCTCATCTCTACTACCAGAATAATCTCAAAAGCTTTCTTCATAGTATTTGAAGGACAGACTTTTTATCATAAAATAGTTTCATTGCTATTGGAGAAGGCTGAGTTCTAGGGGTTTTTCCCTTCTATTAATTCTCCTTAGGTCATATGCCTCAAAAATGGCAGTTTACCTTAACAAACACAGTTTAGCCATGCAAAATTCTTATTATTAATGCACGAAAAAAATCCAAGAGCTAGGGGGGGACAAAAGATTATTATGAAAAATATAAGTTGATTGTTTCCTTTTCTCATACTGTGTTCAAAACATCTTTTCCATTTGCTGATTCATACTTTGGAGGTTAGTCATCAGGTCTAAACGTTTCATCTCTAGATCCCACCTATTTGGAATCTTGTTTCTATGACAATAAAAATTAGAATTTCACATGTACTTTTTACTTCTACTCCCTTCCTTAATGTTAGCAGGACACTGCAGCTTTCTTCAGAGTGCCCAAATTTAAGTGTCTGATATGAGAACATGGTTTATTTGTGTGAATAGATTTTTTTTTAGTATGTCTTTGAGTATGTATGTGTGTCAATTCTAGAGTTTCGATTAAGGTTATTATAGTAATTTTGTTATCTTATACAATGAGTGGTAAAATTTTCATTAGTAATAGAAGAATGTTAAACTGTTAAAACACTTTTACACTGAAATCTTTCAAAAATTATTCCTTGAGGTTCGTTAGAAGAAAAAATTGATTTTTTAAGATGTGCTGCAGCACATAGATAAAGATTCAGCATGTTTTGTTATTAACAAAGATTATAAATTCAATTCAGTATATTTACTGTTGTCATAATTTTTAGTCATTTTATTTGTTATTAAGTATTAAACATACATTTATATGTTAAGATGTAACATTTGACTTTGAATAGTGTGGGAAATTTTGTTGTACCTTGGAAAATTGTAACTGGTCTTAAGGAAAGAACATTTGCTGTCCGGAAAGTCACCATTTGGGGGAAAATACCTCAAACTTACCATATCTACAAAGATAAAATTATTATAACCTTTTGATTATTTTGCTTTTATCTCTAAACTTCTGAAATCGTATATTTCATAAATTTGAGGGAGCAATATGTCTTTTCCACCTAAATTTTCACACATATAGATGATAAAGCCTTAACTCTTCATATCATCAGGAGATTTTGAATGCTTCCATGTGTGGATAGTATTGTGCTAGGCACTTTTGTGAAAGAAATAGATACCGTTTCTACTCTCAAGAAGTTCTAAACCTACTAGGGAAGACAAAACCAACAAATGAGACCAGTTACAGAAGAATAAATACAAGATAACATAGTAGACAGTGAATATTATATATTCTGAAAAGATACTTGAAGTAAAGAGAGGAGGTGATCACAGTACAGCAGTTATTCAAATAAGGCTTTCTGAAAAAATTCTACTTAATTGAAAACATTTTAAAATACTGTATTTAGGGACTTTTATTAAGTGCTCTAGGGAATTTCAAAGAAACTAAACAGAATTCTTGCCTTCAGGGATGTTAAAATAAAATAATTTTTTTTTTCATGACCTTTTCTGGTTAGTGTAGCTGTTGCCACAGATAGCTTGCATGTATTTAATATTTTCCTCTTTGTTAATTTTCCTACTAATTTCAAAATGAACATTGAATTAAAGAGGGTGATGAAAGTTTAGTATAACTCATTTTAGCATGCAAATAAAGATAACCCTCAAAAATATCATTACTTTTTGTGATTTAGATACTTTAAACCAAATTTAGTTCTCTCTGAGAGTTAGAATGAAGATTGATTCTCTTCACACCCACCCCCTAGGCTAGGAAATGTTTATCTAGCAGCCTAACAAAGGAAAGTCTGTTGTTTCACTTGAGATGAATCATACAAATAAAATCAGGCCTTCAAGTAAGTAATTTGGTAAATACTTAAATCTAGTACTAGATTAGTGTTTCACTCATTTTACAATTTATTTATCCCAGCACATGCAGTAACCAGTAGAAATGATTGAGCTAAATGGGTTAGTGCTGCACATCACTCTGATGAAAAAAATGTATAACCTCAATTCAACAGTAAGTAAACATTAGACAAACTCAGATTAAGAGCCATTCTACAAAATAGCTGTCCAGTACTCTTCAAAAGTGTCAAGATCATGAAAGACAAGGAAAGATTGAGGAATTTGTCACAAATTAGAGGAGACTAAAGAGACATGATAATAAAATACAATGTGTGGTGCCCTAGATTGGATTCTAAAACAGAAAAAGATATTAGTGGAAAAACTAAGAGATCTGAATAAAGTCTATATATTAGTTGATGGTATTGTACCAATATTAATTTCTTAGTTTTGATAATTATACTACAGTTACGCAAGGTGCTAACATTAGGGGAAGCTGGGTGAAGGATATATGGCAACTCCCTGTGCTATTTTTGCTAGTTTCCTTTAAGTCTAAGATTATTCCAAAATAAAAAGTTTTTTTAAAAAATGCCAGTAGAGGGCCGGCCCGGTGGCGCACTGGAGAGTGCGCCGCTTGGGAGCGTGGCAGTGCTCCCGCCGAGGGTTCGGATCCCATGTGGAGACTGGTTCCCGCTCACTGGCTGAGCGTGGTGCGGGCGCAACACCGAGGGTTGCGATCCCATTGCCGGTCCCCAGTACAGGCACGACACCTAGGGTTGCGATCCCATTACCGGTCAGTAAAAAAGACAAAAAGGAAAAAAAAAATGCCAGTAGAGGAATTAGAATGAAATACTAAAAACTATTTAATTAACCCAAAAGAAAGCAGGAAAAGAGGAAGAGAGGAACAAAAACAGGTGAGACAAAGAGAAAAATAAATGGAAAAATAGTAATTCTAAATTTACCCAAATCAATAACTACAGTAAATATAAGAGAACACTTCAATTAGAAGGCAGGGATTGACAGATTTGATAAAAACGTTAAGACCTGACTACATGCTATCTACAAGAGTCACACTATCAATAAGGTCACAGGTTGAAAGTAAATTTTTTACTGTTCAAGCTAATTTGGGGTGTTGTGGCAGCACAGATGTTGGTGGCTCTGTAAGGATTTACCCCCTTTAACTGTTTGGTGGATAAAGTGTTCCTGTTACTGATGCTGGATAAGAATATCCTATACTATGAATATAGCATTTCAAAAGTCAGTAAAAAGCATGGGGCAGGGTGGAGGTATATGCTGCTAACCTTTCTAACCAGATTTCCTTTTCTTCTTTCTTTGGTGACTAAGAAGATTCCCACCTTCTAGCTTTTAGTTATTATTTAATTTTTCTAAGTTTATTTCACTTAATTTCTTTGAGGTATTAGAAAGATTGCCAGGAGTTTTCTTGGTGGGATTTGAGATGTGCAAGACTGCTTCCTAGGGGTTGGAGTTTTCCTCGTTGCCAGGTTTTATAAAGGGAAAAGTTATTGAGTTTTTCTATTCTAGGGATTAGTATGTTATCAGCAACATCCTTCGGTGATACTCAGTTGCTTTCAGAATTATATAATGAAGACAATTTCTTTTTCCTTTCTTTTTTTTTTTTCTTCTTTTATTCATTTTATTTTGAAGAGAATTTCTTTAAGAGATTAATTAGTAAGGAAATTTATTGAAAGTAATTTTAGTATTGCAAATCTTTTTTGTTGCTGTGTAAGAGTTTCATAAGTAAAAGAACATTTTTGTTAAATGTTATTGTATAATACAGTTGCATTTTCAGTTGTGTTTTTGAGCTTATGCATACTTTTGCTGATAGTACATAAGAATTCCTAACTAAAACTTTATTTTAAAAAAAATAAAAATTAAGTAGAGCTTTCTAGCACTTGAATTTCACTTAATGGTGATCCCTGTTTGGATTGATAGTAAACAGTAAATCCTTTTTTTCCTCTACTCTACTTGTAGTTATATTCCTAATTCTATGCTTTGGGTTGAAAAAAAGTTAAGCTGTCTATGCTACAGGATGTGTAATAAATAAAGCAAATGACTTTCAAGTAAAAATAATTAAATTTGAAAGGAAGGTAAAGAATCCTGTGTATTTAATTTTGTGAAAATGTTTTAAATAAATATGTTTCTGTTTTGGGGGTGAAGAAACTTTTTTTCTCTATTCTGTATATTGGGGTTTGTCTTTTTTTTAATCCTTAAATTATACCATTCTTTTAGAAAGGAAAGCCTTCATTTTTGTATCCTGACTAGCTTTCTGAAAGTGTTTGCATCATTTTAAAATGTCATCAGATGGTCCATATGTTTCCCATTAGTTCTCTTTTGGAATATGAAATTGGTTCATGTGAGTTTTACTACTAGATTTACAAAATCTAGTTTTTGTTACTTTGAGTAGTAAAGTCTCAAGTCTATGTCAATTTGAACCACTTTGATATGTTATCATCTTTTTCCTATTGAATTTTTTGTTTAAACTGTTCCTGATCTAAGAGGTGCATCTTCTCCTCAATTAAGTGACCAGAAGGCGCATGAAAGAAGAAACGTTTCAGTGAAGAAAATTGCTTCAACTTTCATTTTCCACCTCTCTGTGACATTGAAATGTTTTTATAATCCTGATGTAACAACCCAGCTTTCAGTCCTAGTCTATAGTTTTTATAGCCATCTAATTACATGTAGGTATAGTTATGAAGAGCCTTGAAAAAACAAATCTTTACATATATTTCTGCTGTATATGCTACAGATTTGTTGTATTTCTAGTACTATTCAACAAGAATTAAGTATTTTTGTATTTCAGCAGTATTTAACCTTTAAATGTCACATTAATGTAGAAGGGAGTGAGGATGAAAATCAAGTATATTAGTGCATAAATTTGAATTAAACCATAAGGTTTTGTGATTTATTAATTGAACTGGTAGAAACTGATTCGTAAGGTTTAATTTCAAGTGGTCTTTTAAATAGTTGCTTACTTAAAATATAAAGAAATGTATTGAAATATAACTAGCAAAATTTGACAGGGAAAATGTTGACTTTAAGGTTATCTACTGATTTGCCAAATATTAAGTCTATGCCTGGCTTTACTCTGTGTTGTCTGTTTCATGCTTACAAGATGTCACAGCATACATTTTTACTAATGACGTTTTTTTCATTATTTTATCACTAATAAATCTTTTCAAAAAGGTCAGTTAAAAGTAAAGCTTCCGGGCCGGCCCGGTCGCGCACTGCTACAGTGCGCCGCTTGGGAGTGCAGTGGCGCTCCTGCCGAGGATTCGGATCCCACATACAGACCGGTTCCCGCTCACTGGCTGAGCGAGGTGCAGGCGCAGCACCGAGGGTTGCGATCCGGTTGCCGGTCCGGTACGGGTGCGACACTGAGGGTTGCGATCCATTGCCGGACACGAAAAAAGACAAAAAGGAAAAAAAAAAAAAGTAAAGCTTCCAATTTGATTTTTGTTTTTTAGTAAAAGTTGCATTTTTAAAAGCCTTTTAACAACTTCAACAGAGTTGTGAAAAAAATATTTCGTTTGTGAGGGAAGATTCTGTCATACTTCAGTAATGGAAAGCATCGAGTGGAATGTATACTGTGGTATCTTAGGAAAGCTACATTAGATATCTGAAATGTTACTTATTGCATTCTCAATTTGTACATCAGCTGTCGGCTCTGTCAGAGTCACAAATTTGGTGAGAGTAAATAACCTTAGCATTGCAAAGATGAAGTTTATAAATCTCTTAAGCATTAAAAAGGGCCATGTTCTGTTTTTTTATTCTGTCTATGCAAAGACATTAAATGTGGTAATCACATAGTTTTCTTTAACTAATAAATTTCTATATCATTTGCCTTTTTTCTTTCAGTAAAAGTAGAGTATGTATTTGATAAACATTATTGTTTTGCTTTGCTGATTTTAAATTAGAAATTATACAAATAAAGCATTTAGAATAATGTTTGTCAAATACAACTCATTTTTTAAAGTAAATGCTACAACAAAAAGACAAACTGGCAAACCTCATTTAAAATTTACTTTGAAGCTGAGTGTTTTTGCTTTCTTAGTTGTCCACCACCTCCCTCCCTTCTCCCTCCCTTCTCTGTTCAAATGGAGAGGATATAAGGAGAGTACAGATGCCGCAGGTCTTAAGCGCAAGCGTTCCCAAGGTACAGTAACTGTAGTCTATTTCTCCGTGTAGTTACGTTCCCGGCGTATACAATTCAGTTGTGCTTAAAGCTTAGAAATTATTAGTGTTTAAAGTCTGTTGTGCTATTTTGCTTAGTTTTACCTTGTTATATGTGTGTATAAACATTTGTAAACTGTGTATAGTAACGGCATGTTTGCCAATATTAAGATAATGTGTGGACGATTTCAAGAGGAACAAATTTTACCATCTTAACATAATACTTAAATATCTCGATCTTGTAGTTTCAGTGTTTTAAGCATATGTTGCTCAAAACTATTTTAACGAAAATGTGGCTTAAAAACATTAGATCAAAAGGCTTAAAGTAATGAATTGGAGCAGATATAGAATTAGAAAAGTAAATTGTTAAACCCTTGTAAATGATTTTTTTATCAAAACTATTTTAACGAAAATGTGGCTTAAAAACATTAGATCAAAAGGCTTAAAGTAATGACTTGGAGCAGATATAGAATTAGAAAAGTAAATTGTTAAACCCTTGTAAATGATTTTTTTTAAAAATTTATGACAAGTTCTTTTATTTAAAAAGCGGACCTTGTACATTGTTTTCTTTGGAACTGAAGATATTATTAAAGTTTATTATATTAATTGAATTTTCGTCTTAAGTTCTGTGTTAGTAATGTATCCTGGCAGGTAAGTAAAATGTAAACTTTTTCATAAATTTTTAAAATTAGATTTGTGACATAACTAAGAAGTACATTTTCTTGTAATGTACTCTGCATTTTAGTAGGGAATAGATTTTCATAAAAATTTCTTGTGATCTTGGATCTTGACCAGAGCTATATCTTTGTATTTGGCTTTAGGCTATGTTCAACCCATTTTTAAATCAGAAGAGTTAGACTCTGCCAGTAACTAGCTTTGTGGCAAGTCACTTAATCTCTTTATACCTCTGTGTCTTTATACATAAAATGGGGAATAATATTTTGCCTTAAAAGGATATTAAGAAAATAGGCATAGTGATGTGAAGGTGACTCATTTTTGAAAATGGACATGTGAATTTTTCTTACCTATATACCAGAGGTATAGAGGAAAGGTTTAAGGCCTTCAGAATACAAGAATTATCAAATAATGAATTGGTGGATATATTATGTCATTTTTCTCAATTCATTGCTTCCGCAAACATTACTGAATTTGTGATGTGTGCCAGGTACTTTGCTAGAGCACTGAATTTGGTGCTAGGGAAACAAAAATGATCAAGACACAGTTCCTGCTTCACAGAGTTTATGAATTCCTGGAGTTCATAGGTTTGGATTTTTTTCTTTAATAGATCTCATTTTCATTGAGCATACCCCCAGTTACAGAAATGCAATATGTATACTGATGTGAACATTATGGCAGGAAAACATTTCTTTAATTTCTTATTATTAAAACATCTTTCAACTTTAGATTTCTGTTATGATGCAATATCCAGTGCTATCTACTCCAAAACTATCTTATATTCTAATAGATTATTCTCTTCCCAGTTTAAAGATAGATTTTTTTTTTCCTCTGAGCCTTGTTTTGTCCTTTGCTGAGTGAAATTTTTATAGATCTTTTGATATTTTTAGTAATCAACAGAAGAAATGGAACTAAAATTTCTGTGTCAAAGCTATTTAGGACTTTCAAATAGGTATACATCCCTTAGACCTAAGGAACAGTCACATCACCTGGGAAAGTAGTTCTTTAATAATCAAAATGCATCTTAACTATGCATTAGAGATTACAATTATGTTAGTTAGGTCAGTTACTCCATGCTGTTTTAGCCAGTTGCCATTTCCTGTAGCATGGTTAATTATTTATTAAAAGAAGGCCCATCCATTACTTGCTTCACATATATATTTTTTTTCATTAAATTTTTATTTTGTCAATATACAATGTATATGATTATTATGGCCCATCACCGACACCTCCCTCCCTCCTCCCTCTATCCCCTCCCCCCCAAGAATGTCCTTTCCGTTTGCTTGTTGTAACAACTTCAAAAAGGTATAGTTGTTATATCTTCTTCCCCTTCACATATATTTTTTAACGAGATAGTTTTTGATTGTAATGAGTTACATAACTGAATTGTTAGATAATATTGATTCAGTTATCTGCCTATTACAGTTTTTCACACAAATGAAGTTTGTTTTAGAGACCTTCATATTAGTTTTTCCTTTTTGCAACAGCTATTCATAGCTTCAAGTTGAGTCGAAACCATGTGGACTGGCACAGTGTGGATGAAGTATATCTTTACAGTGACGCAACAACATCTAAAATTGCAAGAACAGTTACTCAAAAACTGGGATTTTCTAAAGGTGATTGTTGAATATTACTATAGTTTGTCAAAATTTGGGGAATCTGGCTTTTTCTCTTTTTTTTTACAAAATTGTTCAGATTCTGGTTTTAGTATATTTTAAATATGTATTAAATTCAGTGACGAGTGCTCTGTTAAATGAAACTTTTATCCAGTTGATTGAGTTGACATGTATTCATCAGTGAATAATTATATATTTAGAAGGATCTGATAAAAAGATTAAAAATTATCTTTTATACTTCTAAAACCACAAAAGCAGTCAAACCTGAGGCAGTGAAAGTAAAATGTGGCAATTGAAATATAATATTAAAGAAGATGATGACTGAATATTTTTCATTGGATTTAGTGACATGGAGGTCATTGGTGACTTAGATGGATTGATGGGGCAGAAGCCAGACTGGCATGGGTTGAAGCTTAAGTAGAAGGTGAGGATATAGAGGCAGTGAGAAAAGACAGCTCTTTAAAGGAGTTTGATTAATAGAAAGAAAAAAGAGAGTGGTTCTTGGGGAAGATATGAGAGCGTTATCTAAAAATAAATGTTTAAAAAAATTTTGTCTGATAAAATTTAACTCTCAGTTTTTAATTTTAATTTGTTTGATAACAGTTGTGCTTGAATATCTTTTTATATGTCTATTAGTCAGTTGTATTTGTGAATTACTGTGTCTTTAGCCCATTTTGCTATTGGAATGATTGTATTTTTACTTTTTAATTAGTAAATTCTCTCTTTGTTATACCTAGTTAATTAGCTTATTATGTGTCATATTTTGCCTAATTTTCCCAGTGTGCCATTCATCTTTTATATTTGCTTCCTGTTATTTTTTTATATAGGAGTTTTAAATTATTATGTATTCAGTCTGTCCTTCCTTCCTTTTTCTTTTTCCTTATGGTTTTTAGCTTTGGTGTTATACCCAGTTCACGCTCTATCAGAGCTGATCAGTAAACATCATCTTATAAATTTTATTTCCTCTATCCCCAGTGAAATGTTTTCTTAATATTCCTTTTACTTCCTTAAACATTTTAAACATTTTTTCTTAAATATTATGAAAATGCTATTTCTCAGCACAAGTAGTAAACTTAGAATTATAATTTTTCTGCAGCATCAAGTAGTGGGACCAGACTTCATAGAGGTTATGTAGAAGAAGCCACATTAGAAGATAAGCCATCACAAACTACCCATATTGTATTTGTTGTACATGGCATTGGGCAGAAAATGGACCAAGGAAGAATTATCAAAAACACTGCCATGTAAGTTCTTTGATAAATACATCCTACATCTAGTCTAGCATCTAAACTTTGTCCAGAGCATAAGAGATATTAACAGAGTTTCATCATTCCACTGCATGTTTCTCCAATGCCAAATATTTTGATATCTTAAATAGATCAAGTTTTTGGACCAAATTTTGAGAGTAATTATCTAGATGATGAGGGCCGGCCTGGTGGCGCACTGGATAGTGCGCCGCTTGGGAAGCGCGGCGGCGCTCCCGCCCGAGGGTTCGGATCCCACATACAGACCGGCTCCCGCTCACTGGCTGAGCGAGGCACGGGAGCAACACCGAGGCTTGCGATCCCGTTGCCGGTCCCCGGTCCGGTACGGGGGCAACACTGAGGGTTGCGATCCGTTGCCGGACATGGAAAAAAGACAAAAGACAAAAAAAAATAAAAATAAAAATAATAGAATGTTGAGTTTTTTCACTTTTTACTGTGACATCTCTTAACACCAGCTGATGGATTAAAGTAGAAGTACAGTTCAACTTAAAAAAAAAAAAAAAACTTTGATACTGCCAGGCCACCCTAATCCTATTCAATATCCATAGCTCAAATTACAGGAATCTCTTCCCTTTGATTCCAGTTTTATTTTCTGGTGAGTTGTACATTCCTTCCCATGAATCTTCTGCTTGGATGTATGGGAACCTGAGAACTAGATTACTGTCATATTCTTTCTGGAGCCATTAATAAATGAGATGGTATCAGTTTGATTTCTTTGGGTATAGGTGAAGGAGAAAGACATAAGCCAAAAGGAAGATTCAGTAACTCATAAAACTGAGGAGTCTAGGAGTTTAGTCTATTGCCAAACGTCATCAGAATCCAGAATCCAGTTTCTATCTGCTCTACCATCCTTCATTTTGGAGCTATTCTTGAACATCTCCTTTAGTTCTAGATGTGGTCTATATCATCTTGTGTTCTAATTCTAGAAGAAAAAATAAGTCATTTTTTCCAGAAGTCCCAGCTAGTCTATGTGTTTCAGTGACTGATGGTGCTGCATCCAACTTCCTGAATCCATACATGTGACTGTGCAGGGTCGGGGTGACCCAGCTTGTCAATTCCCACCCTAAAATCATGTAGAACTTGAGTTCATCATAACCATAGGGAGAGGTAGAGCCACAAATAAGAATCAAGAGCTACTATTGGAAGTAGGATGAGTGAATCTAAGGTGGCTCAAACAGTCAAGTATATATATAGTACCTATGTGATAGATATCATACATATATCTTCTTAAAACCAATTAGTTTGTCAGTTGATTTTCTAATTGAGAAGAATTATAAAGACCTATTTTTCAAACTATTTAATGATCCTTAATTGGACATTAATTCTCAAATGCTATTAATCTCTTCCTTCCCTTTTAAAAATATGAACTAAATATTCATTGCTTAGCAGGAGAAAATGGAAGTTGAATAAGCTTATAACAGGACTGAAGTCATGGTTTTTATGCATGGCACTATAGCAGCACAGTAATAGGTCATAGTCTGAGCTACAGTATAATATTTTTAAATTATTCCTTTTTCTCATTTCCTTCATCCCCCTTTGGTTTCAGTGTTTCTCATGTAGTCAAGACCTATATATTTAAGAAATAGGTTTTACCATTTTTACTAAGGCAAATTTGGGGATGTAGCCACAACACCCATCTTTTTTTCCCCTCTCTTTCTGCCACCACTCCTCCCCGCTATCTTCGTTTGTTTTTTCTTTCCTTTCTTTTTCTTTCCTTTTTAAAAAGTGTCATTCCAGTAACTACTCCAAGTGATTCAATAAACATACCTGTTTGCCTAATGAGTATGTGAACATTTGAGAATTATGATAGTGATCCTGTGGAGTGGAGGATTGTGAAAGTTTACTTTAGAAGAAAACTGCATTTTAAGCAAATATAGGGCTTCTGAGTTTATATCTCAAAATCAGGGTTTCTCAGCCTCATCAATATTGACATTTTGACCAGAGAATTTTTTGTTGTTTGAGGCTGACCTGTATATTGTAAGATGTTTAGTGATGTCTCTGGCCTCTTCTCACTAGATGCAAAGAGAGCTCTTAGTTGTGACAACCAAAAATGTCTCTAAACATTGCCTAGTGTCCCCTGGAGTACAAAATTGCCCATGGTTGGGAACCACTAGTCTAAATGAACCTTTTTTTTTTTTTTGGTAAATTCAGAGAGCAACACATATAACACTTCCTAATTATTATATTAATCATATAATAAGACATAAAAACGAATAAGTGGGCAGAAAATATTAGAAATCTTAAAATACGTTCTTTCTTGCATATACTCATATTTATTAAAACTGAACATTTGAAAAGATGGCAAGGAAGCTTAAAAAATGTTTCTGTGACCGTTATTTGAATGTCTACTGTGAAAAAGGAACTTCTAGATTGTGGGTAATAAAGAGATTCCGCCTTTAAGTCTGAAGTTTTGATTATCATCTATATTGTCAGTGACGAGAAGGGAAGCATAGTTTTATTTTGGCAGCCTAGAATCTATTTAGATTTTTTTAAATGGCAAATTTGGAGATATGCAATCAGTAAAATATAACTGTTATTAATAATGCTATTTTACATGTCCTGAAAATAGAGAAAGATCGACTTTTTAACAAGTAGCATTGGAATAACTAGATAGGCATATAAAAAAAATTGGGCCTATTCCTCACACTAGGATAAATTTCAGTTGGATCACATTTAAATGTTAGAAATGACACCATATAATTACTAGGGATTTTTAAAAGGGGGTAGTGAGAGTTTGAATTCTTCTGCAGCTTGGGAATAGAGAAAACTATCTTGACTACTGCTTGATCTAGAAGCAATAAAGAAAAAAACTGATATTATATCAACCCCCAAAAAAATCATGGCAAAAAAACAAGACAAACTGAGAGAAAACATTTGCAACTTATATCACAGATGAAGTATCTCTAATATATAAATGTATTCTAAAAATAAAAAAAAAAGTTCAGCCATCTTACAGAAAAATGGCTAAAGATATTAATACCAAATTCCTGGAAAAGGAAATGCAAATGGCTCTTAACTGTATGAAAAGGTGTTCAAGCTTCCTCATAAAATGTAAAATTACACTAAGATGTCACTTCTTGATGGTCAAAAATCTGAAATTTGACAGCATACTCTATTGGCCAGGCTGTAGGTAATAGATGTTCTCATACTGCTGGTGGAATGCAGTGAAGAAGAGAGAATGTGGCAGTATCTGTCAAAATTACATATGTCTTTATCCTTTGAATCCAGCAAGCCTGCTTCTAGGACTGTATTCCAAAAATATAAGCAAAAAATGCAAGTGAATGCGTGCCCAAGGCTATTCATGGCAGCATTACTTGAAACAGGAAACTACCCAAATGTTCACTAATAAGAGACTGGTTGATAAACTACAGGTATTACCTGTATGATGGAGTACTATGTAGTTGTAAAACAGAATGAGGAAGATCTCTATGTATTTATTATTATGGTTATTTGAAAAGATTCACAAAATTCAGAAACCTTAGTTAGACTGACCAAAAAAAAAAAAAAGACTCAAATTACTAAAGTCAAGAATAAAAGAGGAGACATTACTGGCAACCTTACAGAAATAAAAAGGATTATAAGGAATACTGTGCATAATTCTGTGCCAGCAAGTTAGATAACCTACATGAAATGGACAAATTCCTAGGAAGACACAAACTACCAAAACTGTTTTGGCTCCCCACAGCTACCACCTGCAGCTGGGATGACTTTGGGTCAGAAAATCCAACTCCAAAGACTTACAACTCTGTCTGCCCTGGGGACAGTCACTGCACTGTGGGGCAACTATAAAATAAAATGCACAAGTCCTTCCCCCAAACCTCCACCCCTGCCAAAAAAAAAACTGATTTGGTAATCAGTTTCCCAGAAAGACACAAACTACCAAACTGATTCAGTAATGAGTAACAAGAAATAGACAATTTGAATAGACCTGTAACAAGTAAAGCATTTGAATTAGTAATCAAAAAACTTCCACCAAAACAAAAAAGCCCAGGACCAGACAGCTTCACTGGTGAATTCTACCAAACATTAAAAGAAGAAAATTAGTACCAGTTCTTCACAATCTCTGAAAAATAGAAGAGGGAAGATTTCCCAGTGCATTCTATGAGGCTGGTTTTATGCTAATGCCAGAAACAGATGAAGGTGTTAAAACTAGACCAATATCCCTTACAAATAAAAATGACAAAAATCCTCAACAAAGTATAAGCTAACTGAATGCAGCAACATATAAAAAGGGTTATACACCATGATTAAGTGGGATATACCCCAGGAATACAAGGATGGTTCAACATTTTAAGTAATCAATCAGGATAATACACCACATTATTAGAATGAAGTGGAAAAAAACACATCATGTGGTTTTGATAGAAAAGAGGCATTTGACAAACACCCTTTCATAATAAAAACACTCAGGAAACTAGAAACAGAAGATAACTTTCTCAACCTGATAAAGGGCATCTATAAAAAGCCCAAAGCTAAAATTATACTTTAATGGTAAAAGACTGAAATCTTTCCCCAAAGATCAGGAACAAAACAAGGATGTCCCCTCTCACCACTTCTATTCAGCTTTGTACTATATGTTATAGCCAGGGCAATTAAACAAGGAAAGGAAATAAAAGCCACCCAGATTAGAAAGGAAGAAGTAAAACCATCTCTATTTGCAGATGACATGATCTTATGTAAAGAAAATCCTAAGGAACATACACACAGAACATGAGGGCTAATAAATGAACTCAGTAAAGCTGTAGGATACAAGGCTAATATACAAAAATCGATGGTATTTATGTACTAGCAATGAACAATTTGAAAATGAAATTAAGCAATTCCATTTACTGTAACATCAAAAAGAATAAAATACTTATGAATAAATTTAACAAAAGAAGTGTGAGATTTGTACACTGGAAACTACAGTTGCTCCACTGAAAGAAATTAAAGACCTAAATAAGTGGAAAAGACATCCCATGTTTGTGGATTGGAAAACTTAATGTTGTTAAGATGGCAATACTTCTCAAATTGATTTACATACTTAGCACAATCCCTATTAAAAGCCCACCTGTCTTTTTTGCCGAAATTGACAGGCTTATCCTAAAACTTACTTGGAAATGCAAGGGACCGTAATAGCCAAATAATCTTGAAAAAGAACAAGGTGGAGGGCTCTCACTTCTGATTTTGTAACTTGCTACAAAACTACAGTAATCAAGACATTGTGGTACTAGACATAGATCAATGGAATGGAATTGACAGTTCAATTGGTTTTTGACAATTTTCAAGACAATTCAATGAAGAAGAGTCTTTTCAACAAATGGTGCTGGGACAACTGGATATCCAGATGCAAAAGAATGAAGTTGAACCCTACCTCACACCATATACAAAAATTAATTCAAAATGAATCAAAGACCTACATGTAAAAGCTAAAACTATAAAACTCTTTAAAGAAAACATAGGAGTAAATCTTCACAGCCTTGAATTAGGCAATGGTTTCTGATAAGACATCAAAAGTGGAAGCCACAAAAATAAAAAACAAGTAAGTTGGATTTTGTCAAAATTAAAAAACATTTGTTCTTCACTGGACACTATCAGGAAAGTGAAGACAACCCTCAGCATGGGAGAAAATATTTGCAAACCATATATCTGATAGGTGTCTTGTATCTAAGATATACAAAGCACTCTTACAACACAACAAGCACATGAAAAGTTGCTCAGCATTATTATTTGGTAGGGAGATGCAATTGAGAACAACAAATAGATACTAGTTTACACCCACAAGGATGACTTTTATCAAAAAGATGGAAGATAATAAGTGTTAGCAAGGATGTGGAAAAACTGGAACCCTCATATGTTGCTGGTGGGGTCGTAAAACAGTACAGCTGCTATGGAGAACAGTTTTCACAGTTCCTCAGAAAAATAGAGTTAGCATATAAGCCAGCAATACCGCTCTTAGGTATATACCCAAGAGAATTGAAAGCATATGTTCACACAAAAACTTGCTAAAGAATGTTCACAGCAGTATTATTCATAATAATGAAAAAATGGAAGCAACACAGAAGTTCATCAACCGATGAATGAATAGCTAAAAGTGGTATATTTATACAATGGAATATTATTCAACAGTAGAAAGCAATGAAGTCCTGATTCATGATACACCATGGATGAACCTTGAAAATTTCTGCTA